GACAGAGTTCCTGACGACAGCCAAGGGCTGGGAAGAGGTCGGCGGCATGTGACGAACCACTTCCCGACCCCGTGCTATCTTTCGTACCCCTTGACTCAATACCCCCTTCTTGTATCATACCGACTCCACAAAACCCTCGTCGCTTTTCTTTATTTCAGGCGCCTTGTTTGGGCCCCCCCATTTTCGAAAGTTCTATTGATTCTTGAAATTCTGCTTTTTGTAATTCGGGAAATGCATGGGAAACTACGCGCGCCTTAGCAAGCGCACTGGGAATCGGACTCGACAGTTAGGAATTACGGAAAAAGCGGAGCCCGACGTATATTTTTCCTTGCATGAATATTCTCGGTCACGTTGGAGAAAACTTTAGGAATTTTATGAGAATACGGATAGGTATAGGAATTTTTTTTCCCGCGTCGACTTTCGCGCGCGGATATGGCAATTTCCTTGCTGTGGGATCCGAGCGAGCCGAGTCGATTCTGCGTCAGCGGGGTGACGATCGCAGTGGCGGAAGTTAGCACGAGATGCCCGCGATCGTTGGAGCGGGTATGAGGATTTGTGATTGGAGTTGCGTGGATGATGGGCCAGGGGCCATATTGGAATGTCACCGCGAATGCGCCTCCATGATTGCGGGTCATTTTTTTTTGTGTGAGTTCATGGCTGCAAAGCCGAATGTTCCTTTGTCTGATTCCGGTGTCTCCTATCTCGACATTCTTCGACTCTCTCTCTCTCTCTCTCTCTCTCTCTCTCTCTCTCTCTCTCTCTCTCTCTCTCTCTCTCTTGCCCTCATATCTCTCTGATTTGAATGACGATGTGCTATGAGTTTGCCTCTCTTGTGACCCAACGTGAACTATCGTGACTCCCCCTCATATCTCTCTTCCATTAGTTTCCTGGTAATCCCTGGATGTAGGGGAACTCAATCCTCTTGTCTTGTGAATGGTGGATGCGTGTGTACTATCCCTCGATTTGTCTTAGATGCATCATTGTCATTCTCGCACCTTCCACAGTGGATGTATGCCTGGAAATGTTTGTATGTGAATTTTTACGTTCAACTTGATTAGACCCTGATCTCGAAGGGATTTTGTTCGAGAATGCAAGAGTGTTTAGATCTATCGTTCTGAATGCACTACGCATGCCATCTGCCTTATGTTGTACGAGATCTGCAGACAGTCTATGGGGCAGCCTCGTGTTTTTGTTGATCTGGTCTGCCGAAACTGAGTCGCGGGTTGATCCCTCGAATCTCCAACCCGATTAATGCATGGATGCTTCCCTCATGTCAAAAGGAAGGAAAATACTAACTCTTTCTTTTTCGATTGTGCTTTTTGATGACGTCTCAAAGGTTTTCGCAAACTCTTTTTGATTGATTGATTTGTGGACTAACGGCCGCTCCTCGATCAGGCGCTAGTAGCCTCCCGTATCTCCCCCGCCAACGCGCCCCTTCCCTTACAACGAGGAAAGGACACGTGTATGCGAGTGGGACGTACGAGAAGCTGTCACACGGATGGGCGGACAATATTACTTCCCTCTCGAAAATCGTTGTTCTGGATTCGTGGATCCGGGCTTTGTCATTATTGATACACACTTCCCTCCTTATTTAGTACTGTTGCCATTTAATGAACTAATCGTCATTCCGTGGACGGCAGTGGCGCCCCATTGGCCTCGAACCCTGTGCACTGAGTGCCAGCGTTTCGATCGCTACGAATCAAAGGGCTTCCACTACCGGCTACGGAGTGAAGACGAGCACAATGAAAGAGCCACGCAGCTAAGACCATCCACGTCGGACTGAGAACTGACCCACGAGAGACGCCGAGACTTGATACGGAAACGGGACACGCGGAGTGTATCGAAGCCCTTCCGCTCAAAACGAAGATGCGTAGCGCGGCGGGAAGCTCGACAATACTTTTTGGATTGATTTTGGATTTTTCTCTTTTCGTGCCGTGCCCGCACGCGCATTCCGCGACGCGCGAAAGCAACCGACTTACTTCATCGGGCCAACACGGGGGAATTTCAGTTCTATCTGTGTCCCCACACTCAATTTTCCGAAAATCCTTGGCACACCCCACCTTGTTTTTTTTCTGGGCCTTCTTTCCACACTCTTAGCACTCTGAACGGAAGACATCAGAGGGCGTGAGGTTGGTATCGGAGCCGACACGTGTCGGTTCTGATGATAGTAAGTCGAACTAGCGAGAGGTAGAAGAAGTCCTCAACCTGCTTGTCGGGATTGCCTAGTGACCAGATCTAGATCTGGTGCGACTAGACCAGCCATGCCAATGGCTGACAGTAACGTAGCGCCCCCCAGGGTGATTGTTAGTATTCCCGCCCCTTTTCCTTTCTTTCCTAATCATACCCACCCCGAAGCTTGGTTGGAAGTTGTCAAAGCTCAAGGATATAGGGCGGAAGATCTCCCCCTTGTCCTCACCTTGCTGCTTTGCAACACAGCGTATGATTGGTTTAGGAAACACGGATGGGTAGATTGGAACACCTTCAAGCAAGCGTTCTTCGCCAGATTTGATACGGTCAGTGAAGACGCCGCTTGGTATGTACTCAAAACTCGACCGCAGGAACCAGGGGAGTTGTTGCCTGCCTTCGTGGATCGATTCCAAACTACGTTGGACAAATCAGGGCAAGATGAAAAGTCCGCCCGAGATCTGTTCATCGATCATCTACGAAGTCCGATGTTAAAAGCGAAGCTGCAGAAAAAGGTCCCCCCTAAAACGAACCAGCTATCCGCTATCATCACTAAGGCACTTGAGTTAGACCTGACGAATACAAAGAAGTACATCAGTCAAGGAGACGAAGATATTACAGACACGGTTCAGGATGTAGCGGCGAAATTGTGGTCGTGGTTACGAGCGGTAGAACGATTTTATCCCCGGCCTGATCGTGACTTTCCCGAAGGGGCTGCCTCTGACACCCCGACAGTTCCTTCTCCCCCTCCTCCGATTCTCTCAATGAGCCAACAAGTGGCAACTGTTAAACCTAGAGGCCCTCAAGGCCCTACCTCTACGGCCATAACAAACATGCATTTAGCACTGATGATCCATACAGCTACTACCAAACAATCAGAATGGATGAGCAATCTGGTCCAAATGCAGGCGGTTCACATGGATCGAATGGAACAGATAATGAACAGGCTAATTAAGCCCAACCCTGCTCCTGCTCGACCTGACCCTGCATCGTTCCCGCTCTTGCCTGCTCCGCTTGCACCTGGACATGCCCCGCAATTCCCTCACGCAGGCAACCTGGCAGGGAAAATCGGGTGTTACGACTGCAAACAGCCCGGGCATTTTTCCCGTGACTGTCCGCAGCCAAAACAAAATCAGCCCCCACCTTCCGCAGCCCCCGTAGCTCTGAATCAGGGACGGGTGGCCGCATTAATGGATACGGCCCGAAACGAGGAGATCATTGCATATGCCCCTGAGCGATCTTCCCCTTCAATAGCAGTTGCATCAACCTCAGGAGCTTCTTCTTCCAAAGCGGCTGACGTGGTTGATCCGGTCGAGTACCTTCATCTCACCGGCATGATCGGAGCAATCCGACCAGCAAACGACGATCTTGAATGGGTCGAACTCGAATCTAACCCCGGAGCACAGTTTCGGATGGGAGAAATTGATATACTACGGACACTTAAGCAATTGGATATTCGTGTTCCGGTCCCTGTGGGACATCTGCTCACGATATCCGAAGCAGCAAATGACAAGCTGCTGCAACAATGTAAGAAGAATCAATAGCGCTTTACATACCAGGGCATACAACGAATGTTGAAAAAGAAAAAGGAAGAAGGAGCGGAGGATGTTGCACCGCCTGAACCCGAAGTCGGTGAACCCGAAGCAGCGCGAGTATCCAAGATTTCTTTAGATGAGAAAGATCATTTTGTGCGAGCTTGACCAGTGTTGTGGAAAAGTGCGGAATGTGATTGTGAAGTATGGGGCAAACCTTTTAACGCTCTCATCGATACCCGCTTGTCTGCGGTCGCTATATCATTAGATACAATGAAAAGGACAGGACGACTCAACTCGATTCTCCCTCAATCTGGCAAGGACCATTATGTCTCTGCCAACGAGGAAGCAATGAATATCGTAGGAGTTATCGAGAATGTGGTCGTGAAAGTTGGACGAGTACACGTCCTCGTTAACGCTTTAGTCATAGATGTGCACTCATATTCGGTGTTGTTGGGACTGCCTTGGGCAATGGCGGTAGGTGTCCGCATGCATTTCGATTCCAAGCAATTGGTGCTCACACAAACAGGAGGCAAGCCTCAGACAGTTTCGTTGCGGATTTCAAACCGAACAGCAAAAAAAAATCATAATCCTGTTCGGATAGGGATGATTCAAGGTCTCGATCACGAGGAATCTTCATCCCTGAATAACAGTAGCGGATTCGAAGAACAGGAGTGCGAGGAAGAGATGCCTAGTGAGAGTGAATGGAAACACTTTGTCAAGCTTTTCGAGCACAAAACCCCCGAGGAATTTCGGATGGTTCCTAGAGCCGCCCGAACCTTCCACTTGAGTCTGGAAGACAACACGCTCGTGACTATGGTAACCCAGGTCAGTCCTTCGACCTTTCTCGGAGAACCCATCTTGCAAATATGTGACCTGGCAGACGATTTGGAACCCCCTCGCACCTTGTACGAGGGAACACTTTCCCTTCGAGCACGCTATCAACAGGCGAAACAATACCTGGATGTTTCTGTTTCCCCTCCAAGGTCACTGCTTACGACAGGAGCGACCATCGCTCTGATTAAACAACAAGTCGAAGCTCATGTCGACGATATGCCCGATCTGATGCAGGAAATGGCCGATTTAACAGGACTAACCGTGGAAGAAACCACGACTGATTCGGAGACTGACACTGAAGTTAAAGAGACCGAGATGATTAGCCCCGCTGAATCCCAGATTATTGCGACTGTATTTTCTGTCCGCACTAGCAGTTCCATTTTCTCTAGCGTCCATGACCGACGGAATCGGCCTGTTGATTGGATCGACATACCCCTGGAGATACCTGACCAACCAACAGTCACCCTACCGAATCACGTCCCCCTGGAATTTTGAAATTTCGAAAATCGTTGATTGATGTCTTAAATGGGTACGTATAGGTATTAAGTATGCGCGATAACGATATCGGACTGTCCAACGTGATTGAGCATGCTATCCTTACGGGGGATCATCCACCCATTAGCTGCGTTCCTTACCGATACTCGCCAGCCCAATGGGCGGCCACGTTTCAGCGGATCAAGGAATTCGAAGCTAATGGATGTATCGAACCCACTATAGGACCGTGGTCGTTTCCTGTGGTAATCGTGACCAAGAAGGCCGGAGGGATTCGCATATGCATCGATTATCGGAAACTAAACGATATCACGATCAAAGATGTGTACCCCCTTCCCCGGATTGATGAGCTGTTGGATGCGATTGGGAGTGCTCGGTTGTTCAGTAAGTTTGATGTTCGACATGGGTTTCACCATCTACTTGTTCGAGAGGAGGATCGTCCGAAAATGGCGTTTGTGTTGTTCGAAGGTACCTGGCAATGGGTTCGATGTCCAATGGGTATTTGCAATGCCCCCGCAATCTTTCCGCGAGCCATGACCATGGCTTTTCATAACTTTGTGCGGAAGACACGTCTCGCGCAGAGTATCATCAACTATTGCGTGATCGTGTACATGGATGATATTCTAGTGTATTCGAGTTCTTACGAGGGGCATGTGCAGCACATCGAATGGACGCTGCATGCACTAAGGGATGTCGGTTTCAAGGTGGCGCTGGAGAAATGCCAGTTCTTTCTCACCACCATTTCCTTCTTGGGACACGTGGTGACGGACCAGGGACTCATACCAGAACCGCAAAAAGTGGCAGTTGTGAGAGACGCGCCTGTGCCCACGACTATCACGCAAGTTCGCGCCTTTCTAGGCCTGGCCTCGTACTACCGAAGATTTATCAAGGGCTTCGCGGCTATTGCGGGTCCCCTCATGAATCTGCTGAAAAAGGATCAGTCGTTGATCTGGACGCCAGAGTGTGATCAAGCGTTTTCAAAGCTCAAGGCAGATCTTATTTCGGCTCCGGTCCTTATAAGACCGGATCCTGCGAACTGTGTAATTGGGTGAACGCGCTGAACGTGCGTTCATACCCCCCGGGACCACGTTCAATTGCGTTCAAACACGCTGCGCGCCATGTGGCACGAAAAAATTGAGCGTAACCCCAGGGGGCGCGCGCGCGCATTACGGACGACGAGGTGGTGGGCCTTGTTTAAGGAACCCAGAAAGTGAAAAAAAAACACCCCCCCCGAGGCTTACCCCGGGCCGCCTACCATAGGTGATTCAAGGTGAAAGCTCATTTTTTTTTTTTTGAGCAGGTGGAGGAATCCCCGAACACGAGTCAGACGGCACATGCAGGCTACCTGAAGGGTCCTCGCAGCCATGTAGCGCTGACCCCCCCACCAAAATCAAGGCTGGCAGTGAATATGAAATAGAGTTCGAGCTGGCCGAATATATACTCAAGATTCGACTTCAGGTCTGTGTTTCAGTAGTTATGGGTTGCTCCCGCTGCTAGGGCCTGCTGGTCTCTGCACGTGAGTCTTAGGGCTTGGCTGCACTACTCACCAATTGTGCAAAACTAGAATGAATCTTCTGCAAAATATGGAATAGTACGCCGCCATATGTTTTGTCTTTTGTGCATGTGGTGAGTACAGTCCCTTAAGGCCACTGCACGTATTCTTGAGAAAAGAAAAACCAGAAAAAAAAGATAAACGAAAAAAAAAAAAAATGAGAAGAAAAGAAAAACGAGAAAAAGAAAAACAAGAAAAAAGACAAAACATATGGCGACGTATTATTCCATGTTCTGCAGAAGATTCATTCTAGTTTTGCACATTGGGTGAGTAGTGGAGCCAAGCCCTAAGAGTCACATGCAGAGACCAGTAGGCCCTAGCTACGTGAGCAACCCATAACTGCTGAAACGCAGACCTGAAGTCGAATCTTGAGTATATATTTGGCCAACTCGAACTCTACTTCATATTCAATGCCTGGCTTGATTTTGGTGGGGGTGCTTGCGGTACATGGCTGCGAGGACCCTTCAGATAGCCTGCATGGGCCGTCTGAGTCGTGTTAGGGGGATTCCCCTGCCCGCCCCAAAAAGAAAAAAAAAAGGATCCTTCACACATACACACACACACATTCACACACACACACGCACAATTTCACACATACACTTTTTTTTTTTTTTTTTTCCCCCCCCCCCAAACCCCCCCCGCCGCTCCCCACACTGCCCACAGCCCCCCCAAGCACTGCCGTCCAGTGCCGTACCACCGGTCACCGTTCACGGGGTCTGTGGACGGAGACCGGTCATGGAGTTCACCTCGTTCACGACACGGGAGTTCACGGAGAGCGGTTTTTTTTTTTTTTTTTTTTTTTTGGCTGGGGGGGTATTTTTTTTTTTATAGGAGGGTGGGGGACATCGGAGGGTAACTCCCTATAATTTNCCCCCCAAGCACCTCCGCCATTCCCCACACTGCCCAAAGGCCCCCCCCACCCCGCACACGTCCCTGCGCAAACGCGTCAATCGCGTTTACCGGCGTTCACTGAACGCGCGTTCAGGGCGTTTAAAACCTGAACGCAAAACCCGCATTCAATGAACGCGCGGTAAAACAGCCTGCAAAGCCTTTTATCCTTATCACGGAATGGCAGCCGGAGGCAATCTCAGCGATCCTGGTCCAGGTGGGACCCGACGGACTCGAATGCGTGGTGGAATACGCGTCTACGTCGGTGCCTGCCTGCAAGCGCAATTACGCCACCCCGACAGGAGAATGCTATGCGGCTCTGTGGGGAATCAGTCACTTTCGAGCCTATTTGTATGGACGAAAGTTCACACTGGTCACCGATCATGAGCCATTATTAGCCCTGAAGAAATCTAAGGATTACTCGGGCATGATCGGGAGATGGGCAACAGTGCTACAGAGCATGGACTTTGACATTCATCATCGGAAGCACAAGAGACACGAGAATGCTGACGGGTTGACACGACTGCACCGACCCAAGAAGGTCCTTTAGAGTGAGGAGGTCATTCCGTGGAAGGAGCCAGAGGAGGAAAGTGGACCGCGGTACAGACAAGTGGAAATTTTGTCGAAGGAGTGAGTAACACGGAGCTTCGCTCTGCCCTCTTTGCAGCCCTGCTCACTCTCTCTCTCCTCCCCTCTCATCATGGCTATCCCACCGGTCTCTGCAACCCCTTCTTCCCCTGCTGATTCGGACCCTCTCGCCTCGTCGGCCATCTTCGCCACCCTTCCCGACAGATTCTGCTATTTTTGCACGTGTATTACACGGGTATATGGGGTGAATTGTCATCCTTTTGAGACCGGATTCGTTGAATGGGTGAACTGTGCCACGTGTGTCAATCGTACACACGGTGCATGCGTCCGATACCGAACAAAAAGTAGGGAATGGAAATGCCCTCTGTGTAGAACGGACAAACTGCCTACGGAGGTTCGATTTGAGGCTGCCCGTACGGACGGCCCCGAGTATGACGAGAAATACCGACGAACAGAGGTCTGGATGGATAAAATCCTATTAGGTAAGCTGGCTGGTCTACCATTGGATCATCTCACTAAGCATGACAGACGTCGGGCTACTGAGAGATCTAGGGATTACCGATGGATCAACGGTCACCTAGAAAAGCGTAAAACTGGCGGTTCCTCATCCATTCCAGAGATATGATTGGACCTGATCTGCCCATGAAGAGCAGGCCGCTCACTTCGTGATACATGTCACGGAGGCAACTATAGATCATAATCGATGGTTCTGGTCTAATATACGGGACAATGTCAGATACGTAGTCGTCAAATGTCTGGTCTGTGTCGCCGATCTTGCCCCAATACGGGGACCAAACACGATAGTACCGACAGAAGTAGAGCGCCCTTTCCTGCGAGTCAGTATGGACACGACAAATATCGACGTGCCACCTGGCCCAAACCGTTGCGAATATTCCATCCTTTTACTTATAATAGACCATTTTTCCAAATACATCGAGGTATACCCCTGCAAGACCTGTAAGGCCGCAGAGATAGCCACGCACATCGATCAAGTTCTCTATACCCACCTAGATACGGAAGAGATCCTAACCGATAATGGGTCCGAATTCAAAGGCGAGCTAGAGGAATTACTCGCACGACGAGGCATTACGCTTCGGCACATGGCACCCCACGTTTCTCAGTCGAACGGGTTGGCCGAAAATGCCAATTGCATGATTAAGACTGCCCTTCGTAGAATTCTAGCGGCGCGTGACACGTGTCCTTGGCCCGAGATCGTATATCAAATCGTCGGGATTCACCAGGCCATCCCTCACGAACCCACGGGGTTCACCCCCTTTCAGCTTCGCACCAATAGCCTCCCATGCGTCTATTACCGGGGTAACTCGGAATTGCCGAAGCAGGGGGTAGAGACACGCGTGCCGCCCTTAAGGCCAAGGCCAAAAGGTACGCCGATTTAATGGAAAGGGTCGTCCCAAAGCTAGCCCGAAAGAGACAGAAACTGACCGATTTAGCCCACGGAAGGCAAGTCCCTCGCTACGAGGCCCGAAATGGAAACGCTGGTCCCCAACATCAATATAAATTAGGGGACCTACTGCAGGTACGTAAATATGCACGCGACCGGAAATTCGCTCCCAAATTCTCTGGCTGTTTTCGCGTTGTCGAGCTCGGACCCAACGGTGCTAACACGGTGCGCATCGCGCCCGATGCCAGCGCCAGCCATAACTCTGTCCCCATCGTCCGACATACCTCTTACATCCGTCCCCTCCCTCCCTTTGATCTCCCCCCGTCCCCCTCATCTGCTGAAGAAGAGGACGACGACGATCTAGCTCTCGCCTCGTCCTCCCCCTCCTATTCCCATCCCTCATCTTCTTCCCCATCCTCGCCATGAGTTTCATCACAGAGCAAGCTCTTGGCAATCATCTGCTGCAGCCACGTGGCTACATCTCTGAGATCCGGCAAGTTCATCATCTGCAGCTCAGTCCTGATCTGCGAAGATTGGCGCACTTCTTCTGCACGGAGGGAGTGTGTGTTGCCGTTGCGTTCCGACTCGCCGGGAGTCCGCAGGCAGTAGTATTGGCGGAGGTGGTGGCATTTCATCAACTGGCAGCTCCAGGGACGAGCCACGTCACCACGGTCGCTGCCTTCAGAGGCGACATCAGCGCGGTCAACCCACTTCGGCATACCGCGATCTTGACCTCTTTACGAGAGTGGACGCAGCAGTTGTCAGGAGAGTGGCATCACTGTCTTGCGCGTCCAGGGAACAATCTAGTCCCGACGTTCGGGACTGACTTCGACGAGATTCGCACTCCCCGCGCCAACCGGCAGTCGTCTTCCCCACCCTCATCCCCTTCCAACGCCCCCAATGAACCGCGCCTCTCCTCTCGCTCCTCTTTCCACCTTCGGTTTCCCCTCTTTTCCCAACCTTCTGGCAGTCCGATCTCCATCGTCGCCTTTCTTTCCTGCTCGAGCCTCTTGCCGTCCTGCTCCTTGATCGCGGGCATTGGCAGGTGTGGCGCGAGACCTTTGTCGATCTGTCTGTGTGCTTGGCCCGAGTGCAAGTGACGTGGACGACGAGCATCAGGCGTGTATTGAGTACCTGGAGCTGATGATCATCCAGGCTTGGAGAACTGACGTGGAGGGCGATCTTCTCGCTTTCCTCTTCGGATCGGTTTGGCCAGGCCATCGCCAACCTATTACTCAAAAACTCGTCGTCCCGCTCTCGCAATTGGCTGACGATCTCTCTCTCGACATCGTTTCGCAAAGTGACGACAGTCCGGCTCCGCACGTCATCACGCGGACGTTAGCGCCGTATCTTCAGTGGACTGCATGCTTGGAAGAACCCGGGAGTGAAAGCACTCTGCCGTCGTGGCAGGAGTACTTGAAGCCGTATGGAATCATCGATCGTGCCTTCTTTCCGAAGGAAGATCCTGAGGAGGCGCTTGAAGGAGAAGAAGAAGCCACCGAAGAAGAGGGCGACGCCGACGAAGAAACGTCGGAGGAAGGAAGTTATAGTGAGTACAGCGAAGGGGAGCAGACTGAAGAAGAGGAGGAGGTAGAAGAAGAAGACGAAGAGGAGGAAGCCGGATCAGAGTGGGAGGATTTGCCGGAAGAAGTGGCGCGCACCGGCAGGGAGGCGGAAGACCCCGAGGAGGCACGGAGAAGGGAAGAGATCGCCGCCGGGAAAAGCCAGTTGGAGTTCGCCAGTGAGGCGAACCTGCGTATCGACGACGACCCGACCAGGGATCCAAAGCCCCTCGAGCCCGAAGACGACGGCCCAGCAACCGCGGCTCCGAGCGCATCACGACAAAAACGGAGCCGATCCCCCTCCCCCTCCACCCCAGCCCATCCCCCAGTTCGTCCGCGTACCGATGCGGGGAATCGGCGTTCGTCCCCGATCATTATCCCGCCGTCCCCTTGATTACCTCACCCTCTGCCACAGACTGCCAGATCTCTACCCCCGTCACCTTCCCTCGCAACCCCTTTCCTCCCAATACCTTCCGTCACTTTAACTCCACCCGTCTCGCCGTTACCGTCCATCCCCACCCTTCCCTTCAATGCGCAAACCCCACGTTCTGTTTACACGTCCTTTTGCTCAGCACCCCGTGGGAACAAAGTAACGCAGTAGAAGTCTACTGCGCAATCACCGGAACCATCCCCGCATGTCGCCATCACGAGTTGTTTCACGGGGCACTCTTCTGCACTTTCTCCACCCTCTACCCTGACTAACTCACCTCCCTCCCTCACTGCGGCGATCGGTTTCCCCGCTTTCACCGGATCATCCGCTACGAGGAACTTCCGATCACAGAGGAAGGGATGAACCGTTACTTACCCCCACTCCCCCCCAACCCCCCACGTCGACATCCCCCCATGTGTAATGTCTATTTTCCCATCCCCACGCGACGCTGATACCCGACACGTGCCCATCCCACCCTCTTCTTCTCATCTACGACCTTTCTGAGAGAGGCGATCGACTGGAGAAATCGCCACGTGTCCTCCGAGCAGTACGAATCAGCAATTTCGCAAAGATCACGCCATTGACGATGACGTCAACTTATGCTCTGATTCGATGGACTGCGCTGGACTGGGGGTGCAGAGCACACGGAGACCTGATGGACCATGATGGTGCCACCTGGATGATCTCCGAAGTTTGAAGGGCAGGGGGTTGCATATGACAGGACTGCGGAGGATGGGGATCCAAGTCAGCATGAGCCGGCATGCAGATCTTGCCACGGATGTTGTCGTCAACACATGCCCCGGCTCAGTTCTCTCCGCTGACTTTGTGCTGATCTAAGCCTCCTACTTCTTCCTGCTTCTTCGTCTCCTCCTACGTACTTGGTTCAAGGTCTTTGATGCAATCAGGAGAGCGCATAGTTTTGGAACCCCCTGCGCGTCACATATGTGACGAACCACTTCCCGGCCCCGTGCTATCTTTCGTACCCCTTGACTCAATACCCCCTTCCTGTATCATACCGACCCCGCAAAACCCCCGTCGCTTTTCTTGATATTAGGCACCTTGTTTGGGCCCCCCCATTTTCGAAAGTTCTATCGATTCTTGAAATTCTGCTTTTTGTAATTCGGGAAATGCATGGAAAATTACGCGCGCCTTAGCGAGCGCACTTGGAATTGGGCTCGACAGTTAGGAATTACAGAATAAGCGGAGCCCGACATATCTTTTTCCTTGCATGAATGTTCTCGGTCACATCGGAGAAAACTTAAGGAATTTTGTGAGAATACGGATAGGCATAGGAATTTATTTTCCCGCGTCGACTTTCACGCGCGGATATGGCAATTTCAAATTTTGAATTCATAGGCAAGCTGCAACTGTTTTGGTGCCTTTTTTTTCTCTTGCTGTCGGCACCTCGCATGCGAGCTTCCTCCTCCTTATTTCCCGCATTGTTTCTCCCCCGTGCTTTCTTCTGTCTCTCTCCCCTCCTCCTCTTCCTCTCCTATTGCAACTGTTTCTCCTCTCTCTCTCACTACTCTTTGCGCTCCTGTTCTTCTTTCTTGATCCTCTGAATCTTGGACCCGTCTCGCGCTGCTTTTCGCGCCTCTTTCCTTCTCGTTCTTCAACCTTGGCTCTCCGATTACCCCTGCTCACCAATTAGACGCATTGAGAAAGAGGATCTTCCTATTGCGCGACGAATTTAATTGGTCGAACATCGGGTTCCGAAGGATCAACATGGCTTCCCTTGAGCACCCCTTGCTGAACCCTCTCCTCTTACACTTTGATTTTCCCTCTGTCTTCTCCCCTATCTATCTCCTTTCTCGCAACTATAAATTCTGCAAGTGCGTCCGCAAATCTCTCTTACGTTTTCCATTCGCAAGCCAGCTTCCGGGAAGCAATGGCTAGGTGATGCGTTTGGTGCGAGTCCAAAAGTCCTGTCGGGCTGACTGTAGGCTGGCCGGCTGCGCGCTTGATCGCCACGACGGACTGTGGGATCCGGGCGAGCCGAGTCGAGTCTGCGTCAGCGGGGTGACGATCGTAGTGGCGGAAGTTAGCACGTGACAGCCGGGATCGTCGGTGTGATTATGAGGATCTGTAATTGGAGTTGGGTGGATGACTGGCCCTGGGCCATATTGGAATTTCACGGCGAATGCGCCTCCATGATTGCGGGTCATTTTTTTTTGTGTGAGTTCATGGCTGCAAAGTCGAATGTTCCTTTGTCGGATTCCGGTGTCTCTTATCTCGACATTCTTCAACTCTCTCTCTCTCTCCCTCATCTCTCTCTGATTTGCATGACAATGTGCTATGAGTTTGCCTCTCTTGTGACCCAACGTGAACTCTCTTGACTCCCTGTGAAGAAGAACTTCTTCCGGAACTCGTCCATTAGTTTCTTGGGTAATCCCCGGATGTAAGGAAACTCAATCCTCTTGTCTTGTGGACGGTGGATGCGTGTGTACTATCCCCCGATTTGTCTTAGATGCATTATTGTCATTCTCGCACCTTCCATAGTGGATGTATGCATGGAAATGTTTGTATGTGAATTTTTGCGTTGATTAGACCCTAATCTTGAAGGGATTTTGTTCGAGAATGCAAGAGTGTTTAGATCTATCGTTCTGAATGCACTGCGCATGTCATCTGCCTTATGTTCTACGACATCTGCAGACAGTCTATGAGGCAGCCTCGAAAAAGCGAGGCGCCTCGTGTTTTTGTTGATCTGGTCTGCCGAAACCGAGTCGCGGGTTGATCCCTCGAAACTCGAACCCGATTAATGCATAGATGCTTCCCTCGTGTCAAAAGGAAAGAAAATACTGGCTATTTATTTTTTGATTGTGCTTTTTGATGACGTCTCGAGGGTTTTTGCAAACTCATTTTGATTGATTGATATGTGGACTAACGGCCGCTCCTCGATCGGGCGCCAGCCTCCCGTATCTCCCCCGCCAACGCGCCCCTTCCCTTACAACGAGGAAAGGACACGTGTATGCCAGTGGGACGTACGAGAAGTTGTCGCACGGATCGGCGGACAATATTACTTCCCTCTCAAAAATCGTTGTTCTGGATTTGTGGATGCGGGCTTTGTCATTATTGATACGCACTTCCCACCCTTAGGCTACTCGGTACTGTTGCCATTTAACGAGCTAATCGTCATTCCGTGGACGGCAGTGGCGCCCCATTGGCCTCGAACCCTGTGCACTGAGTGCCAGCGTTTCGATCGCTACGAATTAAAGGGCTTCCACTACCGGATACGGAGTGAAGACGAGCACAAGGAAAGAGCCACACGGCTGAGACTATCCACGTCGGACTCGGAACTGACCCACGAGAGACGACGAGACTTGATACAGAAACGGGACACGCGGAGTGTACCGAAGCCCTTCTGCTTAAAAAGAAGATCCGTAGCGTGGTGGGAAGCTCGACAATACTTTTTGGATTGAATTTGGATTTTTCTCTTTTCGCGCTGTGCCCGCGCGAGCATTCCGCGACACGCGAAAGCAACCGACTCCATCGGGCCAACACGGGGGATTTCAGTTTTGTCTGTGTCCCCACACTCTATTTTCCAAAAGTCCTTGGCACACCCCACCTTGCTGTTTTTTCGGGCCTTCTTTCCGCACTCTTAGCACTCCGAACGGAAGACAGCACAGGGCGTGAGGTTGCGCGTCACATATGTCCTAAAGGCGAAGAGGGTGCGTTCGGATGATGCATCCGCAAGGGTGCCTCCTCGTGGAGCGCAAGGTTGGGCGGCAGCAGCGGAAGGGGACTACGACGAAGACTTCATGGCGGAGGAAGAGCAGGCAGAGGCGACCACGTCTGCAGTACGGGAGAGCGGTTGGCAGCGATCTTCTGATCACAGCGCTCCGAAGACGATGCTAACCCCTCCACATGAGGCGCAGCAACTGCGTGCCCGCGAAAGGAGGACAGAGAAGGCTGCTGTCGTCGATCTTGGCGGCGATGATAACGAGTCTTTGGAAAAACGTCGCCTGCGCACTCGTACAACAGCAACCCCACCGTCGGCGGTGGTGGCACGAGTTGCGGTGGACGAAAGGCCAGTCATGGGTAGACTACCCGCCACACCGTTGTAGCCACGTCAGCGCAACCCGCGTGATGACGGAGGGTTCGTCCAACGCGGAGGTGGGGGGGAAGTCGTGGCAGAAGCGCGCGAAGTTGGCGGCGAGCCGGTAGGTGCTGCGGGTGCGGGTGCTTCAGGCACTGTGGCCCCCATTGCGACGGCGAGATAGGAGGCAATAGTTGTGGCGACTGCGAGAGAGGATGCACGTGGCGAGAAGAAAACCGATCGGGAGGGCGGCGAGCCCGGCTCAAGCCGGGTACGTAGGGGAGTGATGACGAAAGATCTCATCGATTGTGTCGTCCTTTGGGTTTGTGTATCTTTTTAATGCAGAGCGGGGGAATTAAACTCCCGTTGAATCCCGTTAAACTCCAAAAAATCCCTTTGAATTCGCGTTAAACGCGAAAATGGGTCGCTCCCACACTTTTCGGAAAAACGGAATTGATGCGCGGGGTCCGGAACACGTGGCCCTAGGCAAAAAAAAAAAAAAAAAAAAAAAA